TATGGTCCAAAATATGGCTTCGGGACTCAACCGGCGGGACTCAATGATCCTGTTCCGGTACAGGCGGTAAAAGCTTTTGACCCTAAAATCCCACCTATGGTTTTTGACAAAATTGTTAAATCAAGCTAATTTTGTTGCTATTCGACTCAGCTCGAGGAGCTCTTTCGAATCAACTATTATTTTTATATTCAAATTTTTCACTCCAAAATCGAGCTTACTCCCCCTATGGTTTTTAGGTTTTCAGGTCTGTTTTTATACCAGTTCCGCAAAATTCTAATCCGCAAGTTTAACGTAACGAAACTAACATCAACACTATGTTCTTGTGTTCTACCTCTACCACTTCTACCACCTCTACGACCTCGACCTCCAGACGCATCATTGAATTTACAGATAATCACCAAAAGAATGGTAACAATAATAATTTTGTTTTTAATTAAACACATTTCTGTTGGTAAAATAAAGGATTTTTTGAATTTAAAATCTAAATAAAATTAAAAAATGTATAGAGTAGCTCGAGGGCTCGCTGAGGCCGAGGAACTCCAATTTATCTAACCCAACCTCGGACATTGTCACGGTCTTCACAAGAATTTAAAAAATCGTTAATTTTTAAGCGAGATTTCGATAAATCCTCGCTAAACATATAAAACTAAGGATTGAATTTTTTGGAAGAAATGAAAGAATTTTGGCTTATTGTCCTTCCGAATATTCTCAAAAATAAAGTTGACTTATTGGCCTTGTAAAATTCCATAATTTTTGCCGCCAGCATAGAATAAAAGAAATAATGGGTTATTTTAAATGCAATTATTAATTTAAAAGGTCAAATTATTGTTAAATTCGGTAAAATTCCTCTTAAATGTATGTAATTTCAGTTACACAAGAATTCTTAACAAATCCCTAACCAAGTGGGTGGGTGTAGGTCCCGAACATGAAGAATGTTATGGAACACACCTCCAAGTTTGAACACAAAGATAAATCGAAATTCTGGAGTTTCAGTCCCCAATTTCCGGCCTAAATGACCTTGTCAACCTACTCTACTCACAATACTAAAACAACATAAAATTCACAAGTAACGCCAGAATAATTGGCGCGAAAATAATTTTATATTTCCAATCGAGCACATTTTTGTTTTTTTTAAATAAAGAATTTTTTGAATTTAAAATCTGAAGAAATTTATATCAAAACCAGCCTTAGAACGATTCTGTACTACCTCAGTACTACTTTCAAAAGCGGTATCCTAATCAAAAAATTAAAATTATGGTATCCTATTTGAAGCAAATTAACATTTAGGTGGTTTAAGTATTACATTTGAAGCGGTTTTATTTAAAATCAAGAATGGCATTTGAGAAATAAGCTATTGAATTGACTTTTTAATTTAATAATTCATTTAAGTTAATTAAATGAAATAAAAACTGGAGAATAGTAAGAGTTATAAACAACAAAAAATTTTAAGGGAGGGGGGAGTTAAGGTAAATTTAAAAAAAAATTTTTAATAGGTGATTGGCTGAGGGAAATGACACATGTAAAAAATTAAATAATTTTAAACCTTCCATAGTTTAGAAAAATTAAAAAGAGGAGATAAGTAAATTAGGTTGAGAAAAAAATTTTTATTGGTACATTGGACGATTCGAATATTCGAATTAAAATATTTTTGGGAATAGTTTGAATTCGAAATTCAACCTTCCTCAACAAAAATCTAATTATAGTCTAACTAATTCAAAAAAGAATTTACTTTTAGTAGTAATTAAAAAGAGGAAAAAATTTTAAGTCGACCTTTTTGAAAAATTTGAGGGTATCGAGGTTTTTTGGAACGTTCCTTAAATGGAAATTTCTACATCGAAATAAGCGTCAAAATAAGAAACATAAACTTCAAAATATTCTTTTTGCTTAACAAGGGAAAGTTTTTTGAATTTCAGAAAGTTACGAAGCAAGAAACCCTCCTTTTACAAAGTCAAATGTTTAAAAAATTTCTAAATCGAAATAACAACAAAGAAACTCTAGATGGAAATCGAAAGAAACAATTCTTCAAAATCGAAATTTCGAAATTGCCTTTGAGAAAAAATTATAGGTTAGTTGGCAATAATATATAGAGAGATGGCATTGCCTTGGTATACTTTAATAAATTATTTAAAAAATTTTTTAATTTAAAGTAAATGAGTACATAATTATAAAAAAAGAATTAATAAAACATTCAGGAGACTTTTGTACTAATAATTCCGGGAACCGGAACTCAAATTGGTTCCGGCTCCGGTTTACAAATCAGTTCCGGGCAAACCGGAACCTTTTTACACCCCTAAGGATTAGTTTTCTTTATAAAAATATGGGTTGTCCTTGCAATATTTTCTCCGGTTGGACTTGCATTATTCTCAAAATTTTCGCCTGCGGCGCCAGCGGCTGCGGAAAATTTTTTTCAATTTTTTTTCAAATTTGTGGTTTTAAAACATGCCAACTATAAAAAATGAAGAATGTGTTTAATTATGCCTCGAAAATTCAAAATTTAATTTTTTTTCCTTTTGAATTTTGTGTTTTTCCCATCCATATTATTCAACCAAAAATACAAAAAATTCAATTCTTCTTTTTATTTTTTAAAATAAATAAACAACATTATAGACTAGCATAAAAACTAATCATAAACACCAAAAAGCTTTGTCCAAACTTGATTTCTTCCAAAAATTTGTTTTCCCAAAGGGCAACGAAAAGAAGGAAGAAACTTAGAGGAAATGGAGTAAAAAATAAGAAAAAGCTCATTCCGGTTCCCATGCCGCCCAGAATTCCCTCCCTTCTTTCCCCTTCCCTCTCCCACGCACTCCCCCGCGGCTGGCAAAACTGCATTTGATGTAAAGTGTCCTTTTAAAAAGAAAAAAACTAAAAATCCAAAACATGAAGAGATGAAGATTTGAAAAGAATAAGGCAAAAATGAGTTAAAAATTTAAGTAGTCAAAATTCGCAAATTAATCCAAAAAAATTGTTGGCTTAGATTTTTAAAAAATATTGTCAAATATTAATTTATAAATTTATTTTAATATTTATTTTTTAATTTCTAAATTTTGTTTTTTAATTAGATATAAAAATATTAGTTATTAAATACATGAGGAAATTTTTTTTAATTTAAAAAATTATTTATTTAATATTATTCTTTTTGAAAGGTACTACAATTTATTTTTATACATATTTCTAAAGTTTACTCAAAAAATTTTCTTCAACCTTCTTTATTTTTGTGCATTTTTTAGCACTATCTAGCTAACCAAACCACAAATTGCGCTGAAAATTACTTAGGCAAATAACGAAGTTTAATTTTTAAGGAAAAGCAATTTAATAGTTTATTGGTTGTAAATTCTCGATTCCGAAATCTGTAATTTATTTTTTATGTCTGCCGGATTTTATATAGTCAAATAGAATTCCTTTATTTAATTATTATATTTTATTTTGCATAATCTCGATATCTTAATTAAATTATCTATTCTTTATTAAGACAATTTCCATTATTTTTAATTTTTATTTAATTATTTTCTCGATATTTCAATTAAATAACTCTTACCTTCATTTTTATAATAAAATTTATTTTTATTAAAAAAATTTTTTTTCTAAAAATTGTTTCCTCAGCTATGTACTCTTTTCTCCAATTCTAGCCTTATTTTTATCCAACGGCTCAACCATTTTTGCCTTTTAAAAAATCTCACGCGCCCAAAATGTAGTCAATGTTTGCCTAAAATGGTTGGACATATTGACTTTGAAATTGATATTATTTATTTATTTTGGTTAATATTTACCTATGTTGGTTTTGAATTTTTTATTAAAAATATGTATATAAAAAATTTTTAATAATTTTAAATTTGAATTTTTTATAATAAACAATATTTATTTTTTGGACGATATCTAGTTTTGTTTTCTTGCAAAATTAAATTAAAATTGAATTTTTTATTGTAATTTTGTCTTTTTTTTTTATTATTATTTTTTATTAAACGGCCAAATGATTTTTACAATTTCAATGAACAGAGATGTCTGAAAATAGACTGTCTATGTGTCTTTGGGGTCGGGCACCACACTGATTTAATTTAAAATAGGCCCGTTTTATTTTCGAGGAACTTGGAGTTAGAGAAGGACTATCGGGGATCTCAATCGTGTAAAGCCTAAATATATTCGTCGAGATGATTGGGGTGTCGGGGGAATCAAGGGTCGAGGACTAATTATATCTAATTTAAATTTAAAATGTATGTATGACTATTGAATGTTCTTTAAGTTGGTAGGTAATTTTTCTGATATTTTTCCTTTATCGAACTCAAACAAAGTTGGAAAAAATAAAATAAAATCACTTCTGGATAAGCTTCATATTTTTTATCTTTTTTTTATTTTTTCATTTAAAATATTCTTATTTAATTTTTAAAAATAATTTTTAACGCATGACCTATATTCAACACATATGTATTTACCTCAAAAATATTCCAACTTTATACCCTTTCAAATAAATAATTCCTCACCTGCCCCTTAAATACATATATAACTCTCTAAATAATATTCTCTTTACTACTAGGTTGCTAGAAAAACAACAATTATTACTAGCCAAAAAGCTTTTTATTTTTTTCTGGCTAGGCATAAATATTAGTATGCTTTTAGTGTGTTTTAAATAATTTTTGAGTGTTCCTATTATTTTTATTAATTTTTAAAATTAATTTCGAAATATTTTTGGCTCTTGTCAACATTACGCGTCCAATCAACCTTTATGTGTCCAATGAATTGTTTACGCATCCAATAAAATTCAAATCGCATTTTTTAAGTACCCGGTTCTTCATTTCAGTACCATTAAATATAAGGGAATAGAGAGTTCTTCTCACCCGGAATTATGTTAGACCCGCAAGATACCGGACCATTGTTCTAAAATGAAAGACCAGGTAATTAAAAATGTGATTGGGCGCATAAAATTTGATTAGATACGTTCCCCACTCCCTATCCCTTTGAAAAAATACCATTGAACGCGTAATCTGGACATGAGCTAATTTTTTTAATTTTTAAGGGGAATATTCACATGTTAAAAATTTTTATTGTTGCTCAAAATAATTATTTAGTAACCTTTTTAATTCTATTAATTATGGTGTCTATTTCATCAATTAAAGCGCTAATTTTGTCTGGAGGTCGTGAATCTTTTGCTAGGTCTTTTAGAATAAAAGGAGAAAATTAAGTATAATTTAGATATCCAAAATGGGCTCAGACATTCGAAAATGAAATTAAATTTGAATTTAAAACGCATCAATCAAACGCAATTATTCTTTATACTGACGATGGTGAATAACTAAATTAACTAATAATAAATTATTAACTAAAAAATAAACCCATTTATAAATTAATTTTATTAGGGCAATGTAGTTACCAAAAATATTATTCCCACCCCAATCCTTCTCCAAGAATGAAGACGAATAAAACTCATTAATAATTTTTATGTATTCTATAGGGATTTTCTTAATTCAAATCTTAATTATTTATAACGAACAGTTAAAAGGATACAAACACATACAACTAATATGAAAGAAAAATTTTTTACAAAAAATTAAATTATGTCATGGACCTTATTAGGGGTAATTTAAAGCCCGAACTCAAGTACAAAATTGCCTATTAATTTAAATTCCTTAGGAATTTCATACTCTATTACCTCTCAAAAATAATTTGTTTTAATTTTAATTATTATAGGGGCAATTAATCACAATTTTCTTATAATTAGTATACTCGGAAGTTATATTCTCGTTGAATTCAGAATTGGAGAAATTGAAATTACTCCACCTAAAAGACACAATATTTATTTGATGGAAACTAAGGTGGATGATGGAAAGTGGCATTATTTTACCTTATTTCAAGTAAATAAATTATCATATCAGAGAAGGGTAGGGCTGAAAAAAATGTCGTTTTTTTGGTTGGATCAGTACCCTTGATATGCTCCTTTATCCACTGAGGTTAATAAGGATATCTTGGCATTTTAAGGAGGAGGTTAAGAGGGGTAAATGGAATCCATTTTTAATCCTAAGTTGCCTACTCAAAAACCGTCTGGAATTCCTGATTTTCAGGAATCGGGTCGGCTAGATCTCTAAAATGGAAGGGAGATATTGATAAATTAAGAGTCTTAGATCTTCATTCCTTATTGAATCCTAGATATGGTACTTATAGATTCTATCTTTTCCTTAACTTGTTGAAAAGGTCAATTTTCTTTTTCCTCAATTTTATGCATTTTCGCTGTGGCATAAAGAAAAGTCTACCATGTTGCAATGACTGAATGACAAAAATGAAAATATTGATCCAAATGTTTGATGATATTGGAGAAAAATTATTTTTCTTTTATTGATGTCTCAAATTTGAATATGCCACAGGGAAAATGCATAAAATTGAGGAAAAAGAAAATTGACCTTTTCAACAAGTTAAGGAAAAGATAGAATTATTTTTTCCAGCGGATACAAACCCTATAAGTACCCTACTAGATATAATACCCAAACCAAACCCAATCCATAAATATCAATCTAGCAAATTAACGTTACTAATCGTTATAATTAAATATATTTTTATGCCAGGCTTGGGAGAATATTAAAATTCAACTTGACGACGAAATTGTATTTTGTTTATTAGACAAACAAAAAAGTTTTATGCTTGGAAATATTCGAACAAACTCTGATATTTTTGTTGGTGGAATACCTAAAGTAAATTAATTTTTTAAACAAATTAAGGATAGAGATTTCTTTGAGTAGGATATTTGATATTTCCTTGATGTTTTTCTTAATACCTCCAATCTCCTGATATCCCAGATTTAGAACTAAGAAGGATATTTTGGGATTTGGATTTTGTGGTCGAGGATTAGAAAAATTAAAATAATTTTAAATTTTAATTAAAAAGCGAAATATTCCAAAAATATCCAAAAAGGCTTCCTTTACTCCAACAAACATAATTTACGTTTTGTTATTTTTTTCATTTAAAAATATCCTCCACACTTTTGGGACCAAATATACATATTTACTTACATACATAAGCCACTAGGGATTTATTTTCTTTTTTGGAATCATGTAGCTGTGAAAAAGAAGACACTAAATGATCTTACGAATATTTTTTGGAAAAGGACAAAATTGCTATTATTCACATAAAAATAATAAACAAAAAATGTCGTGAATGCTTTAATTAACCCGGCTCTATTAGAAGAATATATGTAGTTAATACAAACCCATGCAGGGAGGCCTATCAAAAAATAAGCACCCCATTTTTGATAGTAAAGGCCTATATCTGATATAAATCAATCAAGGTGACCTACTGGAAATATAAAGCCCAGGGCTTTAATTAGAGCATTTTATCTATTTTTGAAGTATTAGAGGGCATATTAAGAAAAAAATAAAAAATTCTTTTTTAAATTTCTCAAAATTAAAAAGGATGTCGAAAAACTCAGCGCTCCGTTAAGAAGATATTCGAAACGATTTGCTGGTTTAATTCGTAATTTAATGTATAGAATATATCCACAAGGAATGGCTGCACCTTTAATGATTGACTCTTTTGGTACACGAAAAATTGATGATAATTATTGTTTGAAGTAATTGTAATTAAATTATTTATTTAATTTCTGATTGTGAAAACAAAGAGAGTTATTAAATATTATTAATTTCTGTTGCGAATTAAAAATTTACAGACAAATTTTGATAAGGATTTGTGTAGATAAGATCACGTGCTCCGATAGGAACTTAAGTAGTGTTCGGTACTTAGTGTTTGGAACGGTACATAGTACCGTGGAGCTACGAAAAGCCGGATCAGTAATCTCCTGTATCATCGGAAACGTCCAGTTAGATTGTGGAATACTAATAAAAATTATAATAAAATATAATTTATTTTTTACTTTAGAGAACACAATTCAAAAGTTACTAAATCAAAAGATGAAAACAACTTTTGTTTAAATTCTGGATTGTGTTATAGTGCAAATAATGGCCCTCGTTGTGATTGTTTCTATTCAGATTATGAAGGGAGAAGATGTGAAAATAGTGAGAGAATTTAATGAAGATTATAATTAACCTTAATTAATATATCCCGGCTCTTATTCATACATAGTTAAATCAAAAAGTTTAGAAGGTCGATTAATTAATGAAAAACAATACTAATATTATCGAAAATTCTCAATTTTTCAGAATAATTCTAGGAATCGAGAATTCCAGAGGATATTCCAGAGGATATTTTTTTGGAATTCTGAGGATATTTTATTGAAGGTTTCAGAATTAGGAATTCGTGAATATTTTAAGTCACGATTTCGGTACGATTTTCGGTAATTTCTAAGGATACATTGTATGTATACTACAAGTTACTAGTGTAGACCCACCGAAAACTACCGAAAATCTCGCGCCCATAACTAATATGAGTTTAATCAAATTGTTCTATTGAAAAGTAGAATCACAGGTTTTATTAAATCATTCATTGTATGAACTAAATAATTTTTATAGAAAAGCCAAGCACAGAAGTGTCATTTTTTGGTAACGAATGGATAGGCTATGATAATTTACATAATGAAGGGAATAATAATGGAATTAATAATGAAGACCTTTCGGCTGTTTTAAGTCATAGAGAAATTTATAATATCTCTTTTAGAACTAATTTTTCTAAAAATTCACTTCTTTTTGTAGCTGGGGATTCTAAGGTATATTTTTAAATATTTAGTGGAGAATTAAATAGAAAATAAAGACTGAGATATTAGCATAGCTCCATTTTCTGAATAGGCAACACCTCCGATAAAGCTCAAGTTTAGAGGAAGGGATTTTATGTGGCTCTTTACTGAAATGTTATGTATTGTACCACGAAAGTCCACCCTGAAGATTTTTTGAAAAAAGCTAGAACCCCAAAATTCCCTCCCGAACCAATTTAACTTAAGTAGAGTTGGCTATAAATTCATAGAGATTCTAGGTTTATTTATCATTTGGTAAGGGTTAGAAATAAAAATATTTTTATAAAAATAATAAAAATTAATTATTATTATTATTATTAAATTAAGAGTAATTTTAAATTAACAATTGAAAATGGAAAACTTCTAGCAACACATCAATTGGCAGAAACTGACAAACGCCTTATTCGAGTTCAAGATCGCAACCAAAGAATGCCTCTACATTTTGATAATAATTTATGGCACAGTGTTTGTGTTGTTAGAGAACTGAATTCTGTAGGTTTTATTTTGGGATTTGGATAGAAACGAGATCTTTGGAAAGTCTCGGTGATCATGATATAACAATGTTATGATTCTTGATATCCGTATTTACTTGATTAATTCCACTCCCTCAAATAATTCCCCCCTCTCGAATAATTCCCCCTGCTACGGATGAGTTGAAACAATAATCCCCACCCCCAAATACCCTGCTACACGTTAAAATTTCAAAACTCGAATAATTCCCCTCCCTTGAATAATTCCCCATGCCACGGATGGGTTGAAAAAATAATTCCCGGGGAATTAATCGAGAAATACGGTAACAAACATTCCGATCCATACTTTTCATAATTGGAGTGAATATATTTACATACCCCCACAGACCAACCAAGATACTTAATTGAGAATGTTTTTGAGAACTTTTATTATTTTTGTGGATTTTACCCACTATTAAGAACCTAAAAACAAAGGTGCGGTTATAATTTTGGAACACCTATAGATATTTTAAAAAAGGTTAAATAATTCTAAGGCTGTAAATTAAAAAATCCATCTCAGTATTACGTATTGTTTATCTCTCCGTCCTATATGATTTTCAAAATATTTTTTAGAAAAATTGATGGGGGCATGAGATATTGAAAAAATAGGGGTGCGGTTATAATTTTGGAACATACATAGTGTAATACATATTAGGGTCTTATCCTAAGGGATCTTTTCAATTTCTAAATCTTAAATTCTAGCCTGGATTTAAAGGTGCTGTCATTTCGGTAGGTCTGCCGACAATTCACAAAAAAATATTTTTTTGTTTCCGTATTTGTATTGCAGTATTAAATCAGAAAATTTTGTTAAGGAGCACTCTTGTCTTTTAAAAACTTTTTCTCAACTTTTTTAAAACTTTTATTTGCTGTGGCCATTCTAGGCATTTTTATAAATTTTTTTCTTTCATTTTCTTTGATAATTTAAAATTATTTTTTTAAAGATTCGTCTAATTGTTGATGATATTTTTGATCAAAAAGTTTTACAATTCACTCCACGATTAA